ACTCTCCTTAAGTTGTGGGTATCAGTATATTGTTCCAGGGACAGAAAATCTGGCCAATATAGACCCTAAGTCCTATTACTTTCATATCTCCAGAATGTCATGGAAATGAAGCCTGAAAATATTTGGTGGACATTAAGCTTTTTTATTTTTTTTTAAATGGTAACCTTGATTCATAGATTTGCCTCTTTTTTAGTTCAAGTGATGGAAAAACCATAGGTCAAGAATTAGTTAAATCTGATACACTTTATCTCATTTTGGGTTGTGCATTTTGTATGCATGTTTGTGGAGTAGTGTACTCATGGCCTTGCACATGTGCAGCAAAAGTTTTGCATCAGCTAAGATCTTAATAAATTGCCCAGGCTGGCCTTAGTGAAACTAAGTTTTATTTGGAATGCTGAAGCTAGCAATTGTCTAATTTTTCCCACTCTTGACCATAGCCTACAACCACCTAATTAGTACTGGCCCCCTATTGATTCTACCCTATTAACTCTGTTCTGTGTCCTCTTTCCCTCTTGTTGCTCCCCTAGTTTTTTCCTCTTTCCTGAGGAATACTGTCTCCCTTTCCCACTAAATCTAGCCCCCCAGGACTAACTCCTGGCCCTGCAACCTCCACAGCTAAGGTACAGGACCACCCTCATCCCTGATTTTGCTTGTAAACCATTCCGTCCTATCTTGATTTTCTTTTGAAGTTCATGGTGTGCATCTAGATATTTTTCATGTCTCTTCATCACTATTTTCTAGGTACCATGATTTCTGGCAAACAGCAGGAATTCAATATATACTCTTCGAATGGTTGGTTCTTTGAATAAATGATTGAATAAAAGTTGTTTTCTTATTTACTCTTCTGTAGTTGTTGAAGGTTTTGGTGTTTGGCTGTCAGAGCTACAGATTTAATTTTACAAACAGGTATTTGTTAGGTAACGGCATAAGGGTACATCTGATTGTCCTAAAAAGAAGACTGGTCTAATTTGAAACCCATTCTGTAGTCTATTTTTCTTTAATCTTACCTGAGTCCTGAGCACAGCTGGAAAAAAGCACAACCTTAGTTAGCATTTACGCCAGACTTGCCCTACACTTGTCAGCCATATTTCCAAGCCTACCAGTCACTCTTCCTAAATCCGTGGCCCTAGACTACCTCATTCACAGGGGATGACCTTGGCTCTCCACTTTTAGTATTTTCCCTCTATAACAGGTCTATTTCTGAAATAAGCCTAGTGCCCTTGAAAGATTGGCACCATTTTTTAAAAATCCCTACTCCACAGCCAGTCTTCCAGTCTTCCCATTGTTTACTATTGCCTCTGAGCCCTTGTTTTCTCAACTATCTCTCAAAAAACATTTGCTTAATGATTTATTATGCAATTGCTCTGGCATATACTGTAGGGAAACCAAAATGGACAAAATCTTACCTCTAGCTGGAGAATGACGGAGGGCATAGCAGGTGTGAAGAATGGAATAATAAGCAAGTAAAAGTTATTAAAAAAAGATGATTTTTCTGCTCAGAGACCTCAGCCATGGAACAGGAGGGAAAAAACTAGTATTGGCTCTTGACAGAGAAACTCAGACTGACTTGTGAAGTAAACCTCTTCACCAGTTCTCTACAAGTTCCAACATACACTAGTCTCATTCTAAAGACAATCATCCAACTTTCTTTGCCTCTAAATTTACCATCTTGCTACATGGTTCTTCCCTAGTCTTTTCTCCATATTTAAAGATTACAAATGCCATCACTTTTTTTTACTTGATCATCCTTTCAGTTGAATGAGCTAAAGAAAAAGAGCTAAAGAAAAAGCTTTTGTACTTCCTAATTTTCAAGTTACTCTTCAATCTGCTGTAATCCAAGGTTCTGCTCTGCCACTTTATTAAGTTGACTCCAGCAAAGGACAATTCAATGACTGTCCCTTCACAGTATCAAATCTGAGTGGATTTTCCTTGCCTTATATTACTGTACCATTTTTCCTTCTTGGCTCAGACCATACAGTCTTGGAGCTTATATTACAAACACTTGCTTGGCTTTTCCTCTTCCTATGCCTCTGAGCTAAAGTCTGACTTCCACTGTTGCCCACATTCTCTTTCTGTATATATCCACTTAGGCAGACTGAGTATATAAATTTTATCATCTTAACATTATGCTTTTGTGAGTGAAAGTGTGCAATATTAATAATTACTACTCTGGGAGAACATATGAAAACTAAGACTACTGTAAACAAACTAGATAGTATCATCTGATTCTTAGGAGATCACATTTATTCTTATGCTGCTAACTAATAAATACCTGTTGTTTGTTAAATTAAATCTGTAGCTATGATACTGATAGCGAGTTTTATTTTCTAAATATTCAGGCAATGATTTCCTACAGGTATATCAAACTTAGCCTGGCCAAAATTCAATTAATTGTCTGTTTATCTAAAACCTGCTAATCCTTATATTTTCTACAAAATGATCCAATAATTTAATGCTCCAAAGAGAGGACTGTTCCAGATTTCCCATTTTCCCTCATCTATAATATTTAAATATTAAGCTATGCTAATTTTAGCTCAGAATATTGCTCTAATTCACTGTTTTTCCACTGGACTACTTTCATAAACTTTTATCTGATCTCCTTGCTCTAGTATTTTCTCCTTCAAGTTCATTTTCCATACTACTGCTAGCATGATTTAAAAGTAGTCATACTTCTGCTTTAAATCTTTCAATAATTCTCTTATCAATTTTAGGTTAAACACTTTCATCATGATTCCACTTGTTCACTTTTTCAGTCTCATAACCACTCCCCTCCTTCCCTCCCTCCCTTTGTACTCTGCTAATATCTAGTACTAGCAGGTCCTAGTACTTTATAAACACACACACACACACACACACACACACACACACACACACACTGCTGTCCTTTAAGAGGCTTCTCACTTCCCGGCCTTTGTCTATGTTATTTCTTCTGCCTAGAATAAAAATCCTCTTATTTGGCTTGCCAATACCTATAAAGTTATTTCTAGTTTCACAGCTGACATCTCTCCTTGAATTTTTACAGTATCTGACCTCTCAACCAAAGCATCAGGCACATTCATTTGAAATGATTTACATCATTCTTCCCTGCTAGTTGGTAAGCTAATTTAGGACGGGGCAACCTTAAATACCTAAGAAATAGTCTTTCTACTTTAGGAGATACCTATCCACTGTTAAAGGATTTAACCAAAATTGAAATGAATAAACAACTTCATTACTTCTGCACTTTTCCACATGTGCCCATATTTATAAAATCATCAGTGGAAAGATTAAAAATGCATAAGGGTTTCAGCTGCCAAAATTTGTCATATTTTATGAAATTAAAAAGCATTTATCTGAGGGGATATAGCTCAGTGGTGCAGTGCCTGCCTGGCAAATGCGTGGTCTTGAATTCAACTCCCCATACCAAAAATCCCCCCAAAAAACAAAAAAAACATACACACACCAAAGTGAGTTGATTTTAGCATAGAAGACAGGATAATTAAATTAGCTACATACGGGTGATGTGCCAATGTTGTAAAAACAGCAAATTGTTAATTGTTTAAGATCAGAGAGTCAGAATACTTTTCAATAGTATGACATGCGAAGTATTATGAAATTATCCAAAAATATTTTTTTTTCTAACAACAGATCTCTCTCTCATTTTTTTTTTGAGATAGTGCTCAGTAAGTAGCCTAAGCTGTGTTTCAATTTGTGATTCTCCCATATCATTATCACAGAACACTAGAATTACAGATGATAGGTCTCCTTTTTATTTACTAAAAAAGAAAGGTATTAAATATCCAAAATTAGTATTAAATATCCAAAATTATCCAATGATCCATAATATCCAATTTGGATATTAAATTTCCAAAATTCCAGTATCAATCATATCTACCCAAACATCCTTCTCTATTTTCTAGTTGTCTTCTCTCATTATTTTCATGTTCTTATAGGTTCTGAAAAGAAGGAACTTTTACTTTGTCTATCAAAACCCAAACTATCTGACCTTCCAGGCACAGGAAAATAATCTTACGGTTTTTGGATAAAATGTAGTGATCTTGTCATTTATTTATTCCAAGCAGTTTTGAGGAAATTTTAAAAAGTATAATCTAAAATTTTAAGGAATATTAGCATTACCAGAGGCACAACAAGAACATCTGGCATAACTGGTATTCAATGAACAAATAAAGACACCCATATAGCAATTTAACAGTCATGATTAAGAACTACTCCAAATAGTATATGGTTTTTTTGAAAAGTATTACTTTTAGAATAGTTTTCTATTTTCTGATTCAATCACAGCACTTGGTGCAATCTTTTCTAATTACATTTTGGCTTACAATCTTGTTTTGTGAACTGTGACTATTTTTCTGAGAAGGAAAATAATTTGAGGCATTTTGAAATTTAAAACATGCTCTGGAACTTTCTTCAAGCTGAGAAATTTTACAGTATTAGGTACATATTAGCTTTCTGGTTAGGGTGAGCACCCTAAGGTAAAACTGAGATGTGAACACATCTACGATTATAGTAGAATGAGTGACAAATTTTGTTAAAATTTCACTGGGAGCAAATCATATTCTTTCTCTCTCTCTCTCTCTCTATATATATATATACATAGTTTTGTTTTTAATTGGCAAGGCACTGATACTATAAAAACAGCTCCAACATCACAATAAATACCTGTAAATACTCAGTATATGTCAGAAGGTGGAGCTCTAAACATATCTGAAATACTGACGTTTTGCATGTATTTCACAAATATGTATAAGACTAAAGCAAGAATAAAGTCTTCAGAAAAATAGTTTTAAAGAATATTTCAGTTCTTTCAAGATAAAATCACTCACATTTCTTGACATGACTAACAAAAAAGTTTTAATGTTTTCCTTTGAAATTTTAATATTTACTATAAAAATTTAGGTAAATGTGAATCAGTCAATAAAATATGAAGTACATTTAAAACACAAAACATTTTTGAAAAATAAAGCCACTTGTCAAATGTAGGTAAAGTCATTAAAACTTACAAGCATCTCGGATGTAGAGTAGCATGGCTATGAAGATATAGTCAACTAAACTCAGGCTAAGGCCATCTGCAAATAAGGCATCCCAAACCACAAGCAGGTCCTGCAGAGGGAACTCCCTTCCAAACAGTAGCCGAACCCACCGTCTGCAGATAAACAAAATCAACATTTAGAAAATAATACTTCTGACAGCAATATGCAGAGTACATTTTATCATGTACTTACATTTTCTCATGTAATTGAGAAAATTATGATTTATTAATTTAGCAGAGAAAACATTATATATCAAAATATATTAGTGGATATAATAGGTTTTGAACAAACATAAAAAGATAATACGGTAAAATCTAAGTTTTAAGCCTTTAAAATAATTTTACAATTTTATACTAAGTCATAATCATTAAATTTTATTTCTGTGTGATAAAATATAATATTATGCTGAAATATGTAGATTTTTTTGCATTTAACTGAAATCACGAATCCTCAAAAAAAAAAGGGAGACAAATATATAGTAGTCTAGCAGGTACCTCATATGTAAGATTATGAGTGAAAAACAGTTTTCTGAAATGTTATGGTCTTTTTCATGATCTACTGATTTTTTGTTAATTTACAAATGTTTAGATGACAAATTAATATAGCAAAACTTAGAAAACTTACTTTACTCTAGTTTTGAATATTCCTTTTAAAATTAACTATGGAGGAAATCAGTACTCTAGGTATTTATTTTTAGGTCAAGTTTAAACAGTTATCTTAATCAAAATATAGTGATACTTAATTTTTTAGTGATACTAAATTATGGCTTGTGGTAAGATGTCCCCCCAAAGCCTCATGTAGTCATAAGTGGTGCTTTTTCAGAGATGGCTACATCTATAGTATGTGACACTGGGATTTATTCATGGTGCAACGCTAGGATCAGGGGTACTAAGATTAAGGGTATGAAGGTAGGTAGCCTGGATAAGATATAAGGGGCAGAAAGAGCTACTGGTGTTCCCCTGTTGCTCTGTTACCTTCTGCCCACCACAAGTTATTTCTCCTCTGCAATGCTTGTCTGCCATGCCACTGTTTTGGAGCCAGCTGATTATGTACTGAAACCTCTACAAACAGTAAGCTAAATAAACATTTCCTGTCTTAACTGGTGGGTGCTAAATATTTTGTCTTGTCAATGAGAAAAGTAACTAAGACAGAATTTGGTACCAAGAGACGTAGGTTCATTGCTGTGGACTGCACCTGCTCATGTGCTTCAGGAACCTTTGGGACTTGCTTGTGGGAAGAGTTAGGAAAGGTTTAGAATGCTGGCTGAAAAAGTGGAGCTGGAACATCTTAGGCTATACTTTTGGGAGGTTCTTGTCAGACCTCAGAAGACTAGAATGGTGACAGAAATGATGCTGGTAAAGACCAGGCTTGGGAGATTTCTGCTGGGAAGAAGGACTGCATTGGCTGTTGGACTCCAGAAAATGTATGTTATGGCTTAGCAAAAAGTTTGTCTGATTTTGCTTGTGTCCAGGGACTTTCCCTGAGACTGTAATTAAGGTGGGCAGACAAACTGATCTGGCAGAAGAAATTTCAAGGCAATCTAATGTTTGAGGCCATGGCATGGTTGGGGGCTTTTAGCAGGATCTATGTTGAGAATCAAGAGCAAAGAGCACAACAGAATGATTTAAAACATTGTGAATCTAGCCAGAAGGGAAGCTCCAGGAAAGCTGTGGACTGCAAAGATAGAGCAGAGGAGATCTTGATTGCTGAGAAGAAATAGATTAGAAAAGATGGCTTGAGAGAATCACAAGAAGCAGCAGGACTCTACCTGTTGCAGTCTCCAAATTGCAAAAGTGAACGATTTTGCTTTGAGAAAAGAGCCTCAGAGCACCATGTTCCAGAATGGTGGCAGCCTAGGGAAGTTGTTCCTCAGGATTTGGTTCATAGGTGCTAGAATCCTACAGCAAAGAGAGAAGGAAGCTTGGCTACTGCTCCAGCTGGCAGCAGACCTGGTTATAATCCATATTGTGCTGGTTTTAGGCACATGCAGAATGTAGGAGTTGTGAGGTCAGGAAAGCTTTCACCCAGATTTCAGAAGAAGGCCTGGAAGGCAGGCAGTGTGCCCTTGAGAAGGCAGTGTATGAAGTTGTGAGTGTGAAGCCAAGGGGAAGTAGAGACCCTAGAAGCCTGGAGAATCCAGGAATGTACACTATCCATGGAAAGCTACAAGGAGTGAGCAAAAGCCAGCCAAAGAAAGAAGCAATGGAAGCTACAACCACCAGAAGTGCCATAAGGACATACAGAAGTGCCAGAAGCTACCCCCGCCTTTTGGAGTTTACAATTTGCCACAGATTTCTAGGGATGCTGGAAGTGGAACTGTGGAAATTAATGTTTGCCAGGCTGGATTTTGGTCTTGCATTTTCCCATTCCTTGCTATCGCCCTGTTTGTAACTTTTAGGAGGGAAATGTCTATCTTGTGTCACTGATTACTGGAAGTGTTTAACATTGTTTTTATTTGTACAGGGGCTTGTAGCTAAGAGTTTACCTTAAATCTCAGAGGACAATTTAGACTTGGACGTCTCAGCAATGTTGAAACTGTTAGGATTTTGGAAACTCTTAAGAGATGGACTAAATGCCTTTGGCATAAAGGGATGTGCATGAGTCTTTGTGGGTCAGGAGTGGAATGTTATGGCTTGTGTCTAGATGTCCCCCAAAACTGCAGTCATAGGTGGGGCTTTCTCAGAGGTGGCTTGATCTAGGGTATGTGATACTGGGAGTGATTCAAGGTGCAGTGCTAGGATCAAGGGCACTATGATTAAGGGTGTGAGTGCTACCTGCACTAAGGGCAGGTAGCCTGGATAAGGGTACAGGCTACCTGCCCTGAACCCTTATTCTAGGGACAGATAGAACTATGGTGTTCCCTTGTTGCTCTGTTACCTTCTGCCCACCATAAACTGTTTCTCCTCTGCTATGCTGTCTGCCTTGACATCCTGTCTTGGAGCCAGCGGATTATGAACTGAACTTCTACAAGTGGTGAGCGAAATCAACCTTTCCTCCTTTAACTTGTGGGTGTTGGGTATTCTGTCTCAGCAATTAGAAAAGTCACACAGCTTGAGACAAATGTATCTCACAGGTAAGGTATCCTTCTAGAGGTATTTTTCATGTTGATTTTATGGCCAGGCAAATAAATATGCCACAGAACAGATATAAGTAATAATAAAAATACTAACTAACATTTGTATGAAACTGTATACATAAATAGTGACAATTTAGAATGCTAAGTTATCTAATGCTTACAAGAAAATAATTTGGTTTGATTTGTTGTGTCCACTTCTGATTTTATCTGATGTGGATACAATTTTTTTACATAAGCCTCTTTCTAGAAACTTACTCTAGAATTTTGCGATTGTAGCATATAGCAAATAATTAAAAAATTTTAATTCCTAGTATTAAAAAATACAGAATACAAGAAATTCTTTAAAAATTTCTGAAGAGATATTACTTCTTTGTAAAATGTGAAACCAAATATAACAAATAAACCAAATATAATGTGTTAAAGTGAGTAAAAAAAAAAAAAGGAGAAAAGAATAAAATCCTTTGCTCTAGGAGTATATTTAGGGAAGAAACAAAGCTGTGATAAAACAGTATATAATCACACATACATATCACAGTTTATTAGAAGTCATGTAATCAAATACCTGAATTCATATAATCAAATTAATCAACAGAATTAGATTATATTTTCAACAGAGGTCCATTACTTAATTTTTCAGGAAAAAACCTAATATGCTTAGGTAAGATTTATCTTTTAAAACTGTTTTAGTAACTTGTATAATTTTTTTCTGACTTTGGAATCCACTGCTAAATCTTTCATATTCCATTGCTAAAATGAGGGGTCACTAACACAAAATTTACATATTTTTGTCTAAGATGCCTATGTTTAGTAACTTAGGAAAAAATTCTCCATACACTTCTGATTTTCCATTTACAAAGACTAATATTTACTATTCCAAGAAGAACAAAAATATTTCTAAATTAATTAGGCTGCTGTTCTTTCTTTTTGTTTTTTGGCTATTACTTTTAATCACAAAGAATGAACTGGTCTTGCAAAAAGTATCAGAGAAAACAGAGGGGGAAAAAACTAAAAATTTACATAGATTAAACCATTCTAGGTACCATGCAAAGGAATATCCAGGGTCTGCCAAAAAATGTATACACACTCCAAAAAAAGTATGATGTGTTTTCAGCAGATGGTGTTACTCAGATATAGGGGACCCTAGAGGATGTCATATATCACAGAAAACCCACTACACTACCAGCTCTTAGAGAAGAAATTGAAAATGCATGTGCAGCAATCTCAGTGCTGAAGGTTATCCAAGCAGCAGCTCACGGTACTAATAAATGTCTGGAAGGTAATGGCCACCACACTGAGTACCTCTTGTAATTGTAGAGACCAAAGTAACTTGTATTAATTTCATGATTTTTCATTAAATTTATTATTAAACTATTTATACAAGTTTTTCTTTTCCTGAAGTGTGTATACATGTTTTGTGGACTCTGTATTTTATATATATACATATATATATATTAGAACCAAATATATATGGAATTATACATTACAGAATTATATGTTATATAATTTTATATATTATATATGTATATGCACACATATACATACATATATAGAATATATATGCATATATATTCTATATTTATATATCTCTGTATTATCTACATATCTCTATCCCTGCACTTTTAAAGGATTAAAACAGAATGTGGTTATCATACTCATTTATTTAACACAACTGGAAGAACACTCCACCAGTGAATAAAATGAATGAAGGCTAATAAGCAACCACAAGTGAGACCACACTATCATTCCCAGTCTTCCATATAGCCCAAGTTCTCATTTTGTTACAGGAAATCATATCTTTATTATTATTATTATTATTTTTTTTTTTTGGTTTTTCTCCGGTACCAGGAACCAAACTCACGACCTTGCGCTTGCCAGGCAGGCGCTTTTGCCGCTGAGCTAAATCCCCAGCCCCAGGAAATCATATCTTTAGTTTCATCACAGATACTGCTTGAAGAGCAAAGAGGAAACAAGCTAATTTATTTTTTAGATATAATTTCTATACCTAGTATTTCCACAGTAAAATACCCAGTTATTCCT